AACAAACAATATTGGATAAAATTTTTGATTTTTTGAAATAGATCCTTATAATTCATTAACTGACACTGTTGAGAAAATTTGTTTAGGGACTTTCTTTTAGACATTTTATCAATGAAGAATTTAAAGAATTTGAATTAACAAACAATAGAATATTGCATAGACTTGGTTGGATTTGTAAAACGATCACAAAGGAAAAAGACTTACTGACTCATGTATAATCTCTAGTGAACAGAAACAAAACCAGAAATAAAAGAACAATAGAAGGGGGAAATATGCACATTAAATATGACTTACAGATATTAGTGTTTGTCATGTATAAAAAAGTTTATCTTAATTTTTGAAAAATAAGCACATTAGAGATATAATTTCTTACTAACAACAAAAACGAAAATAAAGAGGCTTTGGAGCTACAATTTTACATTTATGATATTAGAAAAAAAAATTCTGGGGGAAGGTACAGTAAACTGTTACATTATAGATGATGGAAATGGTACAACAATTTAGAAAACAATATGATAGTATAGAGTAAGTAGCAATAGATATATTCAATTTGTTCCTGTAATTTCACTTCTCAGGAAATTTCAGGAAAAAGTTAAGTGCTGTATTTGCAATGGTGTTCATTGTTGCATTAGATATAGTCGCAAAAATATTGGGAAAACAATCTAAATGTTCAATGATACAGGACGAGTTCGGTAAATTATAATAAATTGAATGATGGAATTTTATGCAGCTGCTGAAAATCATAATTATAAAAACTAGGCAGAAACATGAAGAATATTCATTTTATAATGGTAAGCCAAAAAGTGTACCATTTAGTGTGTTAAACAGAATTATAACTCTAAAAATTTGTAAGAGATACTAGAAAGTATTACTTAAAAATGAAAATAGTAGGATTTCAAGGTGAAGATGTATTCATTCCATAAATATTTGTTGAATGCCTGCATTGTGCCAGCAACTGAGATTATAACAGTAAATAAAACAGCTATGCCTGATGGCATTAATGAAGATTAAGTCTATTTTTACCTTTATTTTCAAATTTTTCAATAATGTTATAGCAACTTTACATTTATAAATTTAATTATAAATTAGGGACAATAATAAATTAAAATGCTATGATTGTATTCTGCTTGTTATTTTCATCTGCTTTGTTATCTTCAATACACATGTATTTTTGGTAGAATGCAAAATAAAGCAATTCGTTTTGTTTTTATGTAGTGGAAAGCACAAATTGTTGGTTCCTCTGTTCCCATTTTATTTACTAATTCATTCATTGATTTATTAATTGATTGGTTTATTCTTTAAACAATAATGATTGAGTGCATATGTATTGGTGCTATGATGGGTGCTAGGAGTACTGAGTGGGACAGATGCCCTCTGTTTTCTTACTCTGTTATGGGCTTGCCACGTTATAGTGCTGTTGTGGATCAGATTGTTCCACTAAAATGGCATTTTTGCTTCTACCACAAATGTTATTTCCTGAATGGAAAAAGGATTTAGATAACAAGCACAAGGCATGCATTTGTATACCTTATGTATGTTTTGCAACTTTAGCTGGAAAAAGGAATTCTGTTTTTTAACATGCTTAAGAAATCAGAGGTGCTTTTATATTAAATACCTTGGGTGGCTTCCAAATTTCTTTTTAAATAAAATACAGACAGTATTATAAACAAGTATAAAGAATACTGTGAAGTGGTATTTAAATGTTGAGAGAGAGCAAAATTGATCTTCCATGGAAAACTGTATCTCTGTCTTTAAGCTCATAACACTTTTCCCATTTCTAAGGGGGCAGTATTGACAACATGAGAGTGGCATGTGGGTTGGTGATTCCATATTTATCTACAGACAAATAGGGGAAGAGAATACTATAGATAGGTATAGAGAATACTATGAAGTGGTATTTAAATGTTAGCGAAAAGTAAAGTTGATCTACAGAAAACTGTATTTTCTCCTTTTTCCCACTCCTTCCTTTTTGGATGATATTGGCAGTATTGACAAAGCTGAATGGCATGTAGGTCGGTGATTCTGGAATCTTTATTTCTACATGTTCTTTAATTTCATTGTCCTGAAGTTGTCACAACTATAACAGTAGTAC